TTCGTGATGCTGCCGCTCGAAAATCGTGACTGCTGTGTGTGGTCTCGTCAAAAAAATCAGCAAGGAAAACCTATTTAAAGGCCCATTACGGCTGGCCCAAAAATAGGGTTAGAAAAATTAGGTTTAAGAAAAAACCCATTAATGTCTCTGCTGGGAGCAGGTGCTCACTTTCTCGTACTAGGTGCTCCCTTTCTTAAAAAAATCCAAAAAGGGTCCAACTTCATTCTTTTTCTAGCCAATTTCGATTGCAAGTTCCAGTCATTGCTTCCAGCTGCTTTTTGTACCTAAAATGACTCGATAGAGAGTGAAAGACTCGATAAAAGCCTACAAAACAAGGGTTAGAATGCGCCAAAACGCATTATATCAAAAATCAAAGAGCTTCTCTAGCAAAATTTTCGAAAGATCTGTACCCTTTTTTTACTTCAAAGTTCAATTGGTGAACTCGATTTTGATTTCTTGTTACTATCAACCGTGACAAACACTTGCATGAGTTTCTAACACGTCGTGACTTTTCCCTTAGACCAAAAAGTAAGATTTTTCTACATTCTTTCAGTCTTCACCATAAGAACTTTGTTTAGGTTGCATAACCAACACGGAAAGCTTTAATGAGTTTCTGCCATGAATGCGACATTTCTCTTTGACGACAAAAAATATGTACTTTTCCACTCTCTTCACACCATATATATTTGTCTTTTTAGGTTTCTCATAAACTCAAATATCTAAAACCAAAGCCAAAAAGGAGCCATGTTCTTCAAGCTCTTCTTTTTCATACTCTCTCAATCCTTTTATTATTCCTCTTCCCAAATTATCAACTTCACTTACAATGGTTTCGGTCCTCCACTGACTGACATATCCGTCCAAGGGATCGCCAGCGTCACACGTAACGGTCTTTTGAAGCTAACCAACACGACCATGCGGGAAACCGGTCACGCCTTTTATAACAAACCGATCCGGTTTAAAGATTCTCCAAACGGTACCGTTTCTTCCTTCTCCACAACCTTCGTCTTCGCTATTCACTCTCAAATCCCGACACTTAGCAGCCATGGCATCGCCTTCGCCGTCGTTCCTAACGCAAGCCTTCCTTTCGGAGACCCAAGCCAATACATGGGTCTCTTCAACATCACAAACAACGGTAATGACACGAATCATGTATTCGCTGTCGAGTTAGACACGGTTCTGAATCCCGAGTTCAATGATAAGAACGATAACCATGTCGGAATCAATATCAATAGCTTGATATCAGTGAATAGTTCTCCGGCTGGTTACTGGAAGGAGACGGGTTTAGGGTTTAAGAACATGACTTTGATCAGTGGTAAACGAATGCAAGTTTGGGTCGATTACGATGGTCGTACGAATCGAATCGATGTAACGATGGCTCCGTTTAAAAAAAGCAAACCTATAAAACCGCTTGTTTCTGTTGTCAGAGATCTATCTTCGGTTCTCTTGCAAGACATGTTCGTTGGTTTCTCTTCTGCGACCGGCCATTGTTGTCTACCGGAACATTTTGTTCTTGGATGGAGTTTCGGGGTGAACGAGAAAGCTCCGCCATTGGACTTATCGAAACTTCCGAAGCTTCCGAGGTGGAAGCCGAGGAGAATTTACGTATTCTACAAGAATTGGATGCTTTCGATTTCCATATTTTGTATTCCCCTCGTGTTTATTCCCTCGTTAATCTTCCTCGTTCGCTGCATCTTGATGAGGAGGAGAAAGTTCGCGGAGGAGCTCGAAGATTGGGAAACATATCTCGGGAAGAACCACCGATTGAAGTTCAAGGACTTATACTATGCTACACAAGGGTTCAAGGACCTTCTCGGATCGGGAGGTTTTGGAAGCGTTTACAAAGGTGTAATGCCGAAGACGCAGCACGAGATCGCTGTGAAAAGAGTCTCCAATGAATCTCAACAAGGCTTGAAAGAGTTTGTGTCTGAGATCGTGAGTATTGGTCGGATGAGTCATCGTAACATAGTCCCTCTCTTGGGTTATTGTCGCCGGAAAAACGAGCTTCTTCTGGTGTATGATTACATGCCTAATGGAAGCTTAGACAAGTATTTGTACAATAGTCCTGAGTTAACACTTGGCTGGAAACAGAGGATTAATGTCCTTAAAGGTGTGGCCTCTGCTTTGTTCTACCTCCATGTGGAATGGGAGCAAGTTGTGATTCACCGTGATGTCAAAGCTAGCAACGTCTTGTTAGACGCGGCTTACAATGGGAGACTTGGGGATTTCGGATTAGCTCGGTTGTGCGGTCACGGATCGGATCCTCAAACCACACGCGTCGTTGGAACATGGGGATATCTAGCCCCCGATCACGTCACGACAGGACGGGTTACGACCGCTACTGATGTTTTTGCATTTGGGGTGCTCCTACTGGAAGTGGCGTGCGGTAGGCGTCCTATTGAGATTGATAAGGTGAGTGGTGAGAGGGTCTTCCTAGTTGATTGGGTTTTTGGGTTTTGGATTGAGGGAAACATCTTGGATGCTAAGGATCCGAATCTAGGGACGATGTATGACCAAAGTGAGGTCGAAATGGTTTTGAAGCTAGGTTTGTTGTGCTCTAACTCCGACCCACATGCTAGACCAAGTATGGGACAAGTGCTACATTATCTAAGCGGAGACGAAATGTTACTAGATTTGTCGCCATTGGACTTGTGTAGGAGAGGGATGATGTTGGGAATCCACCACGGAGTTAGGGAGTTAGGCATGTTCACTGGTGGATCTTCGATTGCTGATTCTATTCTCTCCGGTGGGAGGTGACATTTAAATATCAAAACGTTTGTGTGTTATGTATAAAGAAACTACATATGCAGGAGATATGGGACAATGTTGTTACATCTACGTTAATCGTAGAGGATCAGTTCATTCTTTTCATTGCCAAAATTGTAATCAGGACAATGTAATACAATTTATAATCCTGTTATCATAAACTTTTTCGAAACATTAATACTTAAAACATTGTTTGATTCAACAGAATTTCCATAAGAAACAAAATGAGAATAACAAGTAGAATAAAGATTATACATCTTTTTGACCCAAAAAAAAAAATTGTACATCTTGTACCAAAGTACATTACAAACAAACCTAACGGTCTTACAATTGCTTCCGTACTCCACTGACTGGCTTATCCGTTCAAGGGATCGCCACAGTCACACCTAACGGTCTATTGAAGCTAACCAACATGACCGAGCGGGAACCGGTCACGCCTTTTATACCAAACCGATCCGGTTTAAAGATTCTCCAAACGGCACCGTTTCTTCCTTCTCCACAAGACCACAACCTTCGTCTTCGCTATTCATCCCACTCTGATGCTCCGACATATAGCGGCCATGGCATGGCCTTTGTCGTCGCTCCTAACTCCAGCCTCCCAACCCAACGAATTCCTGGGTCTCTTCCACAGAGAAAACAACGGTAAAATTACGAATCATGTATTCGCTGTCGAATTTGACACGGTTCTGAATACCGAGTTCAATGAGAGGAACAATAACCATGTCGGAATCGATATCAATAGCTTAGAGATCAGTGAATAGCTCTCCTGCTGGGTACTGGGACGAGACGGGTCAGTTTAAGAACATGACTTTAATCAGCGGTAAGCCGATGCAGGTTTGGGTCGATTACGATGGTCGTACCCATCAAATCGATGTAACGATTAGCAATTACGAATCTTGTTCAAATCTTTAGCTGAAGTTGCTATGAAGATTTGGGATCTGATGACCATTGATTAGATATGATATAGATGTAATATTGCAGTTCGATAAAAAAAAAAAAAAAGGTTGACCTTTGAGTCCTGCTTGGAGACTAGTACAAGATTGATTTGAATCTGTATATGTTAGTGTCTGAACATATCATGGTTGTTCTTGGTATGTCGAAGTTACTAATAGAATCCTTAGAGTTAGTTAGATTGAGTAATATCGTTTCTCTTATCGTGCCCGGTTTTGCTCTTCTTGTCCATGGTTTTGCCTTGTAGACTGTAGCATTATTAAGGATGCTGCAGAACATAGGAAATGTCAGTAAGTTAGTCAAATCTTGGGTTAGAGAATGATTAAAAAAGACTTCAGAGTCCTTTAGAGGAGACTATGAATAAACTACATTGTGGGATTGGGTTCTCATTGGTAGTTCTTTGTCTGAAAATGTATTTGTATCCTCTTGGTATATTGATTTGCTTGGTGATTGGTGATTGTTTTTAATTTGGTGAGCAGATACGAATTCAACAACGGAGATGTCTGGTGGTGATACAAAATTCTCAGATAGTAAACATCAATTCAGGTGCCGTCGTAGAAGACAACATGACTACAAAACTGTTGATACCATGAGATAAACACAAGTCGGACTTCCGGTTAATGGGAAAGCTTTTCCTGTCCAATCAAAGTTTCGAAAGGTCAGTACCATTTTTTTACTTAAAAGTTCGATTGGTGAACTCGATTTTGATTTCTTGTTAGTATCAAGCGTGACAAACACTTCCATGAGTTTCTAACACGTCGTGACGACTTTTCCCTTAAACCAAAAAGTAAGATTTTTCTACACTCTTTAGTCTTCATCATAATAAGTGGAATTTATTGCCATGAGCGCCAATAATCTCAAAACGACACGGAAGGCTTTTATGAGTTTCTGCCATGAGCGCGACATTTTCCTTTGACTAAAAAAACGACACGGAAGGCTTTGGGTCGATTACCATGGTCGTTCGCATCGAATTGATGTGTCTATGGCTCCGTTCAGAAAAAGCAAACCTACAAAACCGCTTGTTTCTATTGTCAGAGATCTCTCTTCGGTTCTTTTACAAGACATGTTCGTTGGTTTCTTTTCTGCGACCGGTTCTATTCTATCGGAACATTTTGTTCTTGGATGGAGTTTCGCGCTGAACGAGAAAGAAGCTCCGCCATTGGACTTATCGAAACTTCCTAAGCTTCCGAAATTTCCCAAAGTTCCGTCGCGGGTGCCCAGCAGAATCTACACCTTCTACATGAATTGGAAGCTGTCGATTTCCATATTTTGTATTCCCCTCGTGTTTATTCCCTCGCTCATCTTCCTCGTTCGCTTTATCCTGATGAGGAGGAGAAAGTTCGCAGAGGAGCTCGAAGATTTTGGGAAACAGATCTTGGGAAGAACCGATTGAAGTTCAAGGACCTTCTCGGATCGGGAGGGTTTGGAAGCGTTTACAAGGGCGTAATGCCAAACACTGAAAAAGAAATCGCCGTGAAAAGAGTCTCGAACAAATCCCGACAAGGGTTGAAAGAGTTTGTCTCGGAGATCGTGAGTATTGGTCGGATGAGTCATCGGAACATAGTCCCTCTCCTAGGTTATTGCCGCCGGAAAGACGAGCTCCTTCTGGTCTACGATTACATGCCTAATGGAAGCTTAGACAAGTATTTGTACAATAGTCCTGAGTTAACACTCGACTGGAAACAGAGGATTAATGTCCTTAAAGGTGTGGCCTCTGCTTTATTCTACCTTCATGTGAAATGGGAACAAGTGGTGATTCACCGTGATGTAAAAGCCAGCAACGTCTTGTTAGACGTGGAGCTTAATGGGAGACTCGGGGATTTCGGTTTAGCTCGGTTGTGCTGTCACGGATCGGATCCTCAAACCACACGCGTCGCTGGAACATGGGGATACTTAGCCCCTGATCACGTCACGACAGGACGGGGTACAACCGCTACCGATGTTTTTTCATTTGGGGTGCTCCTACTAGAAGTGGCGTCCGGTAGACGTCCTATCGAGATTGATAACGAGAGTGGTGAGAGGGTCTTGCTAGTTGATTGGGTTTTCGAGTTTTGGATAGAGGGAAACATCTTGGATGCTAAGGATCCGAATCTAGGGACGGAGTATGACCAAAGAGAAGTCGAAATGGTTTTGAAGCTAGGTTTGTTGTGCTCAAACTCCGACCCACAGGCTAGACCAAGTATGGGACAAGTGTTACATTATCTAAGCGGAGACGAAATGTTACCAGATTTGTCACCATCAGACTTGTGTAGGAGAGGGATGATGTTGGGAATCCACCACGGAGTTAGTGAGTTAGGCATCGTATCCACCACGATTGTCGATTCTGTACTCTCCGGTGGAAGGTGATATTTAAATATCAAAGCGTTTGTGTATCTTACATTTCATATGAAGAAAGAAACTATATGAACAAATACAGTTTATAATCGTGTATCGTAAACTTTTTCGAAACATTTATCTTAAAACATTGTTTGATACAACAGATTTCGCATACGAAGCAAAATGAGAACAACAGGTAGAAGAAGATTCTACATCTTGTACCAAGTACATCACAAACAAACCAACATGTAAATTGGATTAAAACTAAATTACCATTCTCTCTAATGCACTAGGACTAAACTGACCACAGAAGAGAGGTGAATCATGTGGGAACAGTGTAATAACCAAGATCATCATCTTGATTTTCCATCAGCATCATCACACTTGTAAAGAGCACCACCGCGACAAAAGATATAGCTATAATGAGTTTGGCATAGCTCTTGCTCTTCTTCTTACTCATTATCATTTGTGTTTGAGGTGTTGTTTCTTCACCAGATATGACAGTTGATGATGATGACATTGTTTCCGCCATGGTTGGAAATTGCTTTCTGTGTTTAATGCTATGGCGAGATCGTATAGGACTTTCAATGTCTGAAAGATCCAAGTCAAGAGCATCAGGATATTGAAGAGAACTGATTAGCTTCCTTGGGGTGCTGAAGATGTTGAAATCATCAGGATTGATGCGTGAACAACGCTGTCTCTGTCACAATCAGAAATGTAGGAAATGTTAAAACTAGCAATCATATAACAACAAAGATGGATTAATATTGATGATCCAAATTGTACTCACCTGAGAACTAGTAGGAGTGGTGTTTTGCAGCCGCCTGTTTCTCAAACTTCCCATTAGGAAACCTTCGAATTCAACGCTGCCATTATCTCCATTTTCGCAAGAATCATAAGGGACAAGAGGTGAATCAGACACAGTAGTGTCTCCAGAGAAAAGACCATCCTTTAAAGAGATATCAACCACTCCATTAGGTCTCCAAAGTTTGCGATTCACACTCCTCTGATCGAATTCAGAGTTACAAGAAGTACGTGAAATAGGCGAGGACTCAAGCGGAGGAGAATCATATCCGCTAAACGAGCCTCCTAGAGTCTGTGATTCAGGTGATAAAGAATACTCAGGAAAATGAGGATTAACAATGGATGAACCATTTCTTCGGCTGAAATTCGAACCAGTCACAGAACGGCAACCTTTCCCCATCTTCAACTCGAGATCTCCAGCTATTCTTTTCGAAGTCATCATTGCTTCGTAAGCAGCTCCTCTAACATAAGCCATTTGGTCAGATTGGCACCTCTCCATTTCTTTGATTATCAAATCAACTTCAGAGTATACGCTTCTCGAGTCCAAGCACTTCATTAGGAAATTCAGCATTTGGATCACTGATAATCTTTTCTGTGAGTTTCCTTCCGATACGCCAAATCCAAGAATCCTCAATCCTGTGTGTATCAACAATCTTGCATAGGCTTCAACAATCAAAGGATTATGCTTAGCAAGTGCCATAACCAGACCCA